AATAACATGCTATTCAGCTTCCAAGTGTTTGATTGTTTTGAATTGTTTTTATTGTAGTTTATTTCTAATATTATGCCATTGTTGTCTGAGAAGATGCTTGGTATGATTTCAATCTTCTTTAATTTGGGGAGACTTTGCTTGTGACCCAATATGGGGTCTATTTTTGAAGATGTCCCATGTGCACTTGAGAAGAATGTATATTCTGCGGCTTTGGGGTAAAATGTTCTGAACATGTCAATTAAGTCCTTCTGATCTAATGAGTCATTTAGGATTGCTGTTTCTTGGTTGATTTTTTTTGTCTAGAGGATTTATCCAGTGATGTCAGTGGTGTATTAAAGTCTCCTACTATGATTGTATTGTTGTTGATCTCTCCCTTGATATCTTCCATGAGTTTTTTTTATGTATTTGGGTGCTCCTGCATTGGGTGCATATATGTTTATCAGGGTTATATCCTCTTGTTGTATCGATTCCTTTAGTACTATGAAGCGGCCTTCCTTATCTCTTGTTATGGCCTTCACTTTGATGTCTATTTTGTCCGATATAAGTATTGCCTGAAAGATATTTTTCCATCCCTTCACTTTCAGTCTTAGTGAGTCCCTTCTTCTGAGGTGGGTCTCTTGTTGATAGCAAATGTATGGGTCATGTTTTTTTATCCATTCAGTCACTCGATGTCTTTTGATTGGAGCATTTAGTCCATTTACGTTTAAAGTTATTATTGAAAAGTACTTGTTTGTAGCCATTTTTATTTTTTGTGCCTGTGTTCTTTCTTACTGTTTCATTTCTTCTGTTTACACCAGTCCCTTTAGCATTTCTTGCATTGCTGGTTTGGTGGTGATAAACTCCCTTAGCCTTTTTTTGTCTGTGAAGCTCCTTATTTCCCTTTCAATTTTGAATGATAGTCTTGCTGGATAGAGTATTCTTGGATTCAGTCCCTTGCTTTGCATCACTTTGTAAATTTCCTTCCATTCTTTTCTGGCCTGATGTGCTTCTGTTGAGAAATCATTTGATAATCTAATGGGAGATCCCTTGTATGTAACTTTCCGTCTCTCTCTTGCAGCCTTTAAGATTCTCTCTTTGTCCTGAACATTTGCTATCATTATTATGATATGTCTTGGTGTGGGTCTTTTCGGATTCATCTTGTTTGGGACTCTGTGTGCTTGTGTGACTTTTTTCTTCTCCACATCAGGGAAGTTTTTGGACAATATTTCTTCAAATAGGTTTTCTAAGCCTTGTTCCTCTTCCTGTTGTTCTGGCACCCCTATTATTTGTATGTTGTTTTGTTTCATGTTGTCTCATAGCTCCCTTAGGCTGTCCTCCTGTTTTTTAATTTTTTCTCCAATTGCAGTTCTTTTTGGGTTTGTTTTGCTTCCGTGTCTTCTAATTTGCTAATTCTGTCCTCTGCTTCTCCTAGTCTACTGTTGAAACTTTCCATGGTGTTTTTTATTGCAGCTATATCACTCTTCATTTCTTCTTGATTCTTACATAAGTTGTTGATTTTTTCATACATTTCTTGATTCTTGCATAAGTTGTTGATTTTTTCCTCCATCCGGTTTATGCGCTTTAGGACCCTTATTCTTAATTTTTTTTTCTGACATGTTGCATGTCTTTGTTTCACTTATCCACTTTCCTGTCGATTCATCCTTTTCTTTCCTTTGGGGTTTTCTGTTGTCTTCCCATTTTTGGTCTCACCAACTGATCTAGATGCTGAGTTGTGCAGGGGCTGCTCCTTGGATGGCAATGGTTCCTCGGGGTGCAGTTTCCCCTCAAGTGGTCACTGTAGTGGCTGCTTCTCAGTTGGCAGTTGCTCCTCTGGTGGGTGCTGATGGCAGCAGTGGTGTCTCCTCTGGCTGGTAGGTGAGGCTGCTCACCCAGCTGCTGTTCCTTGAGACAGAGGTGGGCAGGTCACGAGGCTGCTGATCTTCAGGTGGGGGTGAACTGAGCGCGGCTGCTGCTCCTTGGACAGGAGTGGGCTGTTCACATGGCTTCTGCTCCTTGGATGGGCATGGACTACTCACGTGGCTGCTGCTCCTTGGATTGGGGCTGGCTTTACGCTGCTGCTGTTCCTCAAATGGAGTGGGCTGCTTGTGAGGCTACCGCTCTTTTGACAGTAGCAGGTTGCCTACGGGGCTACTCGTACGGGTGCGGGTTGCTCGCGCAGCTGCTGCTCCTCAGATGGGAGATGGGCTGCTTCTGTGGCTACTGCTCTTCAGGCAGGAGTGAGCTGCGCGTGCGGGTGCTGCTCCTCAGATGGGGGCAGGATGCTCACCCAGCTGCTGCTCGTCGGACAGGTGCAGACTGCGTGTGGCTGCTGCTCCTTGGACCAGTGTGGGCTGCGCAGGGCTGCCACTCCTCAGATGTGGTCGTTCTATCTGTTCTTGTGGCTGCTATTCTTCAGACAGGGGCGAGCTGCTCGGGTGGCTGCAGCTGCTTGGGCCGGAGTGAGCTGCACGTGCGGCTGCTGCTCCTCATATGGGGGCTGTCTGCTCGTGTGGCTGCTGCTCCTCAGATGGGGGATGGGCTGCTTGTGTGGCTGCTTCTCTTCAGTTGGGAGCGAGCTGCACGTGTGTCTGCTGCCCTTCGGATGGGGACAGGCTGCTCACGCAGCTGCTGCTCGTCGGACAGGTGCAGGGTGCGTGTGTCTGCTGCTCCTCAGACCAGTGTGGACTGTGCAGGGCTGCCACTCCTCAGACGTGGGTGGTCTGCTCGTGTGGCTGCTGCTCCTTGGACTGGGGAAGCTGCTCAGGAAGCTACTGCTCCTTGAATGGGAGTGGGCTGCTTGCAGCGATGCTGTTCCTCGTATGGGTATGGGTTGCTCACCCCACTGCTGCTCCTCGTATGGGGGAAGGCTGCTCGTGCAGCTGCTGCTCCTTGGATGGGGGCAGGTTTCTCGCACACCTACTGCTCCTCAGACAGGAGGAGGATGTCAGCTGCGCAGCTGCTGCTCCTCAGATGGGGGCGGGCTGGGTGCATCTGCCGCTCCTCAATCATGGGCAGGCTGCTCGTGTGGCTGCTCCTCCTCAGACGGGGCAGGCTGCTCACGTGGTTGCTGCTCCTCGGATGAGGGAGCAGGCCGCTCACACAGCTAACAGCTGCTGCTCCTTGGACAGGGGCAGGCCATGTGAGGTTTCTGCTCTTAGGCCTGGGGCAGGCTGCTCGTGGGGCTGCTGCTCCTTGGACAGGATTGGGCTGCTCATGTGTCTTCTGCTTGTGTGGTTGCAGTGCCCCGGGTTAAGGCGTTGGGCTGGTCAGAGGGGAACACGCTTCAGAACTCACAGTAGCCTGCACCCAGGGTGGCTGGAGACTGGTTGACCGTGGGACCACAGCCGAAGTAGCAGGTCCCTGGCAGGGGTGTCTGTAGAGTCCCAGGTGTTATCTGAGGGCACCCTGGGTGGGGGTGAGGCCTGGCTCCCAGTTACAGCAGCTCTCCCCTTATAAACGCTAGGCTTCTGGGGATGAGTCGGCCTCCTGGAACTGCTTACATGGTAGCAGAGGCTGCCTAGTTAGGAGAGCCCATTAAGCCTGACCCCGATGGCCCTGCGGGATCTATCTGTGCCTCACTCACATGCACACACACGTCCCACATGACCACACACTCCTCTTTTGGTCCCTTACTGACTCAGGCTCTCTCCCTCACTGTCGCCTTCTTCCTGCCTCTGTAGTTGGGTCTGGGGTGTTATTGACCCGTTTGTGGATGGAGTTTCCTCTCCAGGTGTCTGGTTATGAGGCTCACTCTCTACCATCCGGCCAGACAGGATAAAATTCACCTCGACAAGACTCAACACAAAGGGACCAAAGCACGAATGTACTCACGACAACAATAACCCTACTATAAGTGACCACCTGAGAAAAGAGAATTAGAGGCGAGAAAAGACAGCATAAATGATATCGAAGAGAGCGAAAAAGATAAGAGAGAAAAGAAGAAGGAAGAAAAGGAGATTATATATGTATGGGGAAAACACCACAGAACCAATACATAAACAAACAAACAAACAAGACAAACAAACAAACAATAATAATAATAATAATGATAATAAAATTAAAGAAAAAAGAAAAAAAATACAAACACCAAACCCCCAGCAAAGAGGGTGAATATGGGGAGGATCTCAGTTCAGTATAGAGGAAGTAGAGAGGGGATGGGTGGATAAGAGGAAAGAGAACGAGAAAAAATAATAAATTTACAAAAAATTTGATTTCAAAAATAGTACAAAAATAGCAAATAAAAATAAAATAAAATAGAGTGATGGAAAAATAATGTGAAAAGAAATAGAAAATAAAGCAACAAACAAAAACAGGAAAAAAATAAAAAAGAGATAACAAAGTAATAAAAAAGAAATAAAATAAAATAAAAATGAAAAAGTGAAGTGTTCCTTTGGCTGGCTTAAGATCCCAGTCTTCTGTACTGTAGTGTTTCTCAGGATCCGATTGCTGAAACTGAAAGTCTCTAGTCCAGCCCCTTTGTGCTCTTGGGGGACTATTTAGGTTTTTGTTTTTTAATCCTTTGTACCATTCAGAGTGGAATCTGGGTGTGGTTGTATTAGTTGCCTGGATACTGGAGGGGAGGGGCTATCTCTTCAGGGCAAAATGGCTGCCCAGGTCCCAGGCTCAGGCATGACTCAGCACCATACTTGCGGCCACTACTCCTGAATACCCCTCTTTCCCCAGATTCCACAATTCCGCACCTCCTTCCACGCTCCAGCCACGGGTAAGTTTCTGTATCTGAAAGGTCCTATGAACTAGTTAGGCTCTATGAAGCAGGGCACAAGCCACAGAGGCCGGAGAGGCTGCACCTCTGCACACTCCTCTCCTGCCGGCACTCTTCAGCCTTTCCTGACTGTGGACCCAGATCTAGAATCCTCTGCGGACCAGCAGTTCTGCTCACCTTTTTTCCACTGCGCCGCCCGTCCCAAGGGACACGGCCCCAGCCAGTGCCCTGTGGATTCCCTCTGATCCTCAGGGCTCAGAATTCTGGCCGATTATCCTTCCCAGAGCCTTGACTTTACCTTTCTCCGGGAGTCCTCTGCCTTTCCCGGCTGCAAACTGTCTCCCAGCTGAATCTCCTCTGCCAAGTCGGGCTGGATGTTACTCGTTTCGGCTGCTCACTCTATCTGCTCCGGGACAAGGCACAGGACACGTCAGTCTATACCGCCACCATTTTGTCTCTCTCCTCTTGTTCATTTATTTTTATTTTTAGCTTCAATTGTTGATAGATATGTATTTGTTGCCACTTTATAGAACCTATATTTTCTACATTGTTTTTGTGTTGTTCTTATTTCTTTCTTTTTTCTACATTATTTTAAATGGCTGCATAACATTCCATAATAAAGATGTAATTTTCTTTAATTTAATGCTTTAAATAGTTAATTCACTCTCTGTTTAAAAAATCAGAAGAAAAAAATTGCACACAGTGAAAAAAATGTTCAACATCATTATTCAGCAGGAAAATATAAATTAAAACCACATAAGATATCTTTATATCTATTAGAAGGTTTAAAATAAAAAAATGACAACAACAAATCCTGGCAAGAATGTGAGCAAACTGAATCCCTCATACATTGCTGTTGGACATGTAATACGGCACAGCTATTCTGAAAATGAACTTGGCAGTTTCTTAAAAAAAATAAACATGCACTTCCCATCCTACCTATCAGCTATACTCCTGGGCATTTATCTCAGAGAAATAGACTAGGTTTACAAAAAAAGTGTGCACAATGTTCATTAAAGTTTTATTCATAATTGTCTCAAGCTGGAACCAACCTAGATGTCCATTAATAGGTGAACAGTTATACAAACCATGGTACATCCACAATACCATGGAATACTACTGAGAAATAAAAAAAGAACAAATTATTGATGTATGTGACAACTTTATCTCAAGGAATTATGCCTACTGAAAGAAACTAATATCTAAACATCAAATACTGTGTATGATTCCATTTGAGTAGCATTTCTAAAAATGTCAAGATTACAGAAATGGAGAACAGATTAATTGTTGCCCAGGGTCAGGGAAAGGAGGGTTGTGAGTGTGGCTATAAAGGGGTAACAGGAGGGATCCTTGTGGTGATGGAACTGTTCTGTTATCTTGACTGTATCAATGTCAATATCCTACATGTGATATTGTACTAGAGTTATTATTGGAGGAAACTGGGTAGAAAGATACAGATTTTTTTGTATTATTTCTTAGAGGTACATGTGTATCTACTATTATCTCAAAATAAAAAGTTAATAAAAAAACAAGGACAATTAGGAATATGACATAGACTGTAAGAATACAGGCATTGGAGTTTGACTGCTTGAATTTTATTTTATTTTATATTTTTAAAATACATTTTATTGGTTTTTTACAGAGAGGAAGGGAGAGGGATAGAGAGTTAGAAACATCGATGAGAGAGAAACATCGATCAGCCACCTCCTGCATACCCCCTACTGGGGATGTGACCACAACCAAGGTACATGCCCTTGACCGGAATCGAACCTGGGACCCTTCAGTCCGCAGGCCAATACTCTATCCACTGAGCCAAACCAGCCAGGGCAACTGCTTGAATTTTAATCTTGGCTCAACCATTACCAAATGTGTGATCAGGAACAGATTGTAAAATCTCTATGTGCTCCAGTTTTCTCATCTATAAAATGGAAACAAAAATAGTGCCTATCTCATAAGGTTACTGTGAGGATTAAATATGATATTTATAAAGCATTGTCAAATTACTAAACATAAAGTAATTATACAATAAATGTTAGCTATTATTACTAATAGCAATAATTTTATTATAATGGCATTCAAGGACAAAAGTATCCTGTTAGTTGTTCAACTTCCTAAACTACAAAAATCCTTTCTCTAACATTTTCTTCAACTCTTGAATCATTTACTTAATTTTCAAACACTATTCCAAAGCTGCACAAACAAATTACACCTGTACATGATAAATAAAATTAAACTCACACACATTTTCAAATAACAGGCTTACTTAACAGTTGAAGTTAAAGGTATAGGAGCCAAACCGACTGGAATAGTGTACTTAATCCCAGTTGATATCGGTGGTTTTCGACTGAAGGTAAATTTACTAGTGGTTGTGGTGGTGGTGGTAGTGGTGGTGATGGTAGTTGTTGATGGTGTAGCTGGAAAATAAAATGTATAATGTCAGTAGGAAATGAGAAACTTTTATTTAGTCCTTGATGATTCAGGACAAAAACTATAATAGAAGCATATTTTTTTTTTTTGTGTGTGTGTGTGTGTGTGTGTGTGTGTGTTTTTCCAAAACTCCCAAAGTCTTGACTCTTTTTAAAAATGTTTTCACTGATTTCAGAGAAAGAGGGAGAGGGAGAAATATCAATGTGAAATAGAAATGAGAGAGAAATATCCACTGGCTGCCTCCTACAGGACCTCTACTGTGGATCAAGCCTGCTCACTACTGGGGATCAAGCCCGCAACCCAGGCATCTGCCCTGACCAGGAATCAAACCTGCAACCCTTTTGGTGCATGGGACGATACCCAACCAGCTAAGCCACACCAGCCATGGCTATAGAAGCATTTTTGAAAAATGTGAATTGAACTCAAAGTTGTATGCACTTAAATTCAATGTTGTAATATGAAGTGATATATGGCAGGCCAGGTATTTGGATTAACCTTCCCACTGAAAACTAAAACCCCTGGATAAATATATAGAAAAAGAAAATTTACAGTCAACAATATCTATGACCATTAAAGAAATTGAATTCATCCTCAAAACTCTTCCCATAAAGAAAACTTCAGACCCAGATGACCTCACTAGTAAGTTCTACTAAATTTTCAAAGAAAGAAGACTTGCAATTGTACACAAACTCTCTGTACACTATCTATCTTTGCATACTTACATGAATACATCTGTGTAATTAATTTCTAGAAATGATATTGCTGAAGCAAATGGACAGCATGCTCTAAACTTTAATATATCTTGGCATATTGTCCTATGAAAAAGATTTGCCAATTTACATTCCTATCAATAGGAAGGGGTACTTATTGATACCCTTACATCACAGCCCATACAAGGCATACATCTTTGCCAATCTGATAGATAAAAGCTTCTCACAGTTTTGTCTACAGCACAGACCTCTCACCTATGTATCTTCTTCTATTACATCTTTTCTACATTGCCCTGTCCAATGTAGATGAAATCCTCAGTATACATCATGACCTAACTCAAAATTTTCCTTCCCCCTGTTTATTGACCACTTATCATCGAATCATCGTTATCTCTTAGTTTCCTGAACTTCTATAACACTTTTGCTTTTTCCTAAACACTAAACACCTAAAGAACAATGCTCCGCCCACAGGTGTGGCTCCTATGGGCTTGATTCCCGGTACAGGATGTATAGCAGGGGTCCTCAAACTTTTTAAACAGGGGGCCAGTTCACTGTCCCTCAGACCACTGGAGGGCTGGACTATAGTTTAAAAAAAAACCCACAAAACTATGAACAAATTCCTATGCACACTGCACATATCTTATTTTGAAGTAAAAAAAAAAAAAACGGGAACAAATGCAATATTTGTATTTGCATGTGGCCCGTGGGCCGTAGTTTGAGGACCCCTGATGTATAGGAAGCAGCTAATTGATGATTTTTCTCTCTCATTGATGTTTCTATCTCTCTACCTCTCTCCCTTCCTCTCTCTAAAAATCAATTAAAAACATATTTAAAAAATAACAGTATTCAGAACACTGTGGCTGGGGAGACTGGAAATGTTTTCTTCTTTTTGGTTCTCTGTATTTTTCAAATGTTATAGTTAAATGCTGCTTCTATAACAAAAATGTTTTAAAATATACTATAACATTAGCCTTGATTTCCCCATTAGCAATATTTTCAGGTTAACAGATGCACTAGATAATGCCAACATGGCCTGACTATTCTAAGGGAAACTGGCCTACTCTAGTATTGCTGAGGGCTCAGGCCCATATTTTATTCCATCAACTCTGTCCTTTGATCCTGGTTCACAGTTGACTGGGACAAGGATGAACATCTATGGTAAAGTACAGGAAGTCATCCTATGCGCTACCGGCAGCCTATGAGAAGGTGTGGCATAAAGAGATGTAGGCAAAAAGGGATAAGATGGGTCAGAATCTTATCTCCAAAAATTCAGAACTATAGAAACAACCAGACTATATGTAGAAATATGGAAATATTTCCAGAAATACAGCATGGAAAGCATTAGACTTTAGCAGAAATTTGGAAATATTTGCAAAAGCGTAGAAAGAATCAGTCCTATAAGTAGAGGGAGTTGAAAGGACTGTTAGAGGAAGAACATGAAGTAGAATTAAGGGGCCATGAACAAGTAAAAATTAAGAATAAAACAGTAAGGCAGAAAAAGTGGTAGGAAAACCAATGGGAAGTTATAAAAAAGAAGACAAAGGACAGTAACTGAATTATGTTCATGCAATATTAGATTCAGGAGGTCCCTAAGGCTGCCTTTAGAACACCTTGAAGTGCCACGATCATACCTGTATTAGATTTCCACAAGATTCCATTTCCCTTTTGGCCATAAGGATCCTTACAATAATTTCCCCCATTCTTCATGTTAGTCTTTGGGAGGATGGAATGAGTGCCACAGGGGAAGGCCATGCCCAATCATAAATGTTCCTTGTGATTACCATCCATCAAAAACACTGGAGACACTACAGATTGGATCCTATGTGGCATTCTTTATAGCAGGGGTCCTCAAACTACGGCCCGCAGGCCACATGCAAATACAAATATTGTATTTGTTCCCGTTCTGTTCTTTTACTTCAAAATAAGATATGTGCAGTGTGCATAGGAATTTGTTCATAGTTTTTTTTTTAAACTATAGTCCAGCCCTCCAGTGGTCTGAGGGACAGTGAACTGGCCCCCTGTTTAAAAAGTTTGAGGACCCCTGCTATGTCATCGTCTTCTTCATCTGAGAATAATAATCTTATATAAAAAAATCCTTCCCCAGAAATGCTGAAAAATTAATGACACGATTAAAGAGACCCTCCCTTTAATAATTAATTTATCCAAACACTGGGTAACTACCACATTCAAACACAAGAACAATTAAGGAAAAATGAGTCTTGTACCTGAAACTATTATAATATGGTATACCAATTATATTGAAGTTAACAATTTTAAATAACAAAACAAAAAATGAAACATTATAAAGGAGCTTATCTTTACCCAAAGAAAATTTTTTAAAGTAATCTAGATTGATAAAAAAAAATTCAGTCTACACACAAACAAAAAAAGTAATCTATATTTATTGAGGTGATCACTGTGTAAGTTATATGTGTCTAATCACTATTGTACTGAAGCCAATATAATATTTTATGTCAACTGTAATAGAAAAATAAAAACATTTAAAATAAAAAATATAAAAATTAAGAAATTTTCTATAGAAAAAAAAGTAATCTGCGTTTCTTGACATGGACAGATATCCAAAGAGGAAAGGCAAATTATAAGATTGTGTGTGTATTCCATCTTTGTAAAACAAATACATTTAATGTATCTTTGTATGTGTTTGGAAAAAGGCTGGAAAGATAAAAACCAAACTGTTCTCTCTACATATATGCTTATATGCATGTGTATATGGTTTTTATAATTAAAAAAGTAACATGTAACATCCCTACCTTTAAAGAAACAGATACGCAGGCCAATAAAACACCTTCTGGAGATGTTAAATAATACCTTCAATAAATTAATACCTGTCAACTTCAATATAAATGAATCTTGAGTCATTAAAAAATGCTATGATTATTTAAACACATTTATACAGTATTTATCTTTGTTTCTTTTTTCTGCTATCTTATGCAGGTATAAATTAGCTCTGGCATAAGACATAATATTTAAAGAAGCAATGGACTTGAGAATGAAGGTTCTATTACAGTCTGATTTTACAAACTACAACTTTGGTCTTAACTAAATATAGTCAGCTCTATATATCTGTGTAGTAAAAGGAAATCACAATTCTACAACTAACAGAAAATAATTGCATACCAAACTTAGATTTACATCTAAATAAATCTCATTCTGATGGCCTTAAAATCTACACTAATAAAAGACAAAGATGCTAATTGACCATACCTTCACTACGCCCTAAGCCACGCCCACCAGCCAATCAGAGCAACCATATGCAAATTAACCCAACCAAGATGGCGGCCGGCAGCCACGGAGCTGGAGCAAGCAGGAGGCTTGGTTGCCCCAGCGATGGAGGAAGCCAAGCTTCCCGCTGGCCCTGAGCTGGATGTGGCCTCCGCTCATTGCAACACAGTTTCAATTATAGAAGACAAATAAATCCCAGATACCTGCTTCCAGCCAGCCTCCACTGGGAGCTTGGGTGGCTGGGGGTTGTGGCCAGCCTGCCAACAGCCATCAGCCCCTCATCCAGGCTGGCAACACCCTCATGGGGTGAGGGTCCCCACTGGGGGGCTTAGCCAGCCTGAAAACGGCCCTCAGCCCCTCACCCAGACTGGCCAGGCACCCCAGCAGGACCCCCTACATTAAAAGGGCTGTGGCCAGCCTAAAAACAGCCCTCAGCCCCTCACCCAGGCTGGCCAGGCACCCCAGGGGGGACCGCCACCCTGAAGGGGCTGTGGCCAGCCTGCAAACAGCCATCAGTCCCTCACCCAGGCTGGCCAGGCACTCCTATATAATAAAAGGGTAATATGAAAATTGACCCTAACAGCAGAATGACTGGGAATGACTGGTCACTATGACACACACTGACCATCAGGGGGCAGATGCTCAATGCAGGAGCTGCCCCCTGGTTGTCAGTGCGCTCCCACAGGGGGAGCTCTGCTTAGCCACAAGCCAGGCTGATGGCTGCCAGTACATCGGTGGTGATGGGAGCCTCTCCCACTGGGCTGCCAGAGGGATGTCTGACTGCCAGCTTAGGCCCAATCCCCCATGGAGCGGGCCTAAACCAGCAGGTGGTCATCCCCCAAGGGGTCCCAGACTACGAGAGGGCACAGGCTGGGCTGAGGGACTCCCCCCCCCCCCCCCGCCCCAAGTGCACAAATTTTTGTGCACCGGGCTTCTAGTCATTATATAAAATAGTGAAAACATCCTTTCAAAGATTCTACTATCCAATTTTCCTTTGTTGTCCCAGATCAACAACTGTGTATCTCACTCCATGCTGGGAATGAACATCATTACCTTCTCAGACTCAAGCAAATAATGAGAGTGATAACAAACTTCTCTTAAAACTTGCTGTTTATACCTAGGGTGGAGAATCATCCCAAATGGTTATACATTTTCAGACACAGACACCTGAAAGCTGCACTACAAGGCTGATTTGTGAGGTGAAGTATCTGAGCAAGTAAATACACTTGGGCAGAAGAAAAGGTGAGTAGGGTAAAGAAACAACTCAGGGTTGTTGGTGTGGAGTTGAGACATCAGATGGGGAGATGGGTAAATACATAAGGTTAATTTGAATGAAATGGCAATAAAGAATGAGCTAATAGCAAAGGTACCAGTTTGCAGGTAGAAATTTGAGACTTAAATAGGTAGGGGGAGGGTCCTGGCAGAGTCACAAAAAGCCTGCCAATTCATATTTCAGTGACGCAACATGACTGAAAAATAGTTCTTTGTTCAGCATTTTATAAGAAAATCACGTGTTATATTTTCTGCAAATACAATAACTTATAAAGTTCTCAGACACATCCTTTATAACTCTCATAGGTTGGCCAGTTAGTATAGTACACAGTACAAACTCAGTTAAGTGTTGGCTGTGCGAATTTATAATAGAGCGTGTACATATTTGTTTAGGAATAATTACTTTAAGGTTAAAAGGTATTGACTTTTAGTTTATGCCAGGTTTGAAGAAAGATTCATTTCATTCCTAAGCAAACTTTTTAAAGTAAAAACAAACAAGACTTCCTTAAAATGGAGTCTGATTTAAATGGTAGATTTAAGTAGTAACTGTCCCCTAACCACTTAGCTCACCATAGCTACAAGGCAATGGGTAACCAAGTTTTCTTCAACCTACAACCTAATTAGCTCCTAAGTGGTAGAAACAAATTTAGGATAGGTCTAAAGAAACTCATTTTAGGAGAGGGCCAACTTCTATGCAGATCAAAAATTAACTATTAGAGAAAAAACCTATCAATCACAATATATTGGGCCAATTTAAACACCATGATCAATAGTAAAAATTCCTAAGTCTTACTAGATGCTGCTCCACCCATGCCAGGGAATATTAATCCAAATCCCAAAGTTATACCACCAAATGTTGCAGCCAAAATTGTTGGGTCACGCACTGCAGAGAAGAACATAATATTACCTATTATACATTTAATAAAAAAGTGAGAAATTTATATAGTCTTTTTCATCTGAAGAGACCTTTAGAAGCTTTTGGCTAAACTTCAAAAAACTATAGTCAATCCATTTATATGAAATATCCAAAAAAGGCAAATCTATGGATACAGAAAATAGATTAACTAATGTCTGGGGATGAGCAATCTTATTGGGGTGATACAAATGTTCTAAAACTGGATTATAGTGAGAATTACACAATCAATAAATATTAAAAACACTGAATTATACACTTAAATTAATTTTATATGTAGTTATACTTCATTAAAATTAAGTTTTAAAAAGTACAGTGGTCGAGATTTCATTTTGTAGGCAAAGGCACCAAAGGCAGAAAGGAGAAAAGCCTGTTAAAGGTAACAGGGAAAGTCTTTGATTGAAAATGGAATTCATTCAATAATTTTAACTCCCAACTTCAGATATGGTGATATTCAAGAAATCTATTGTTGTTGAGAGGGATATTGCTTACATATATCAAAAGCTTTCCAGAATCTCAGTCATGTCTCAAAATTGGAAGTCTACTTTGTAGAAAACACAACTCAAATGGTAACCAACAATTTTAACTAATGTTTATCTATGCCAGTTGCACAAGAGGCCACTATAGGGATGGTACGCCACTATTTTTCATGCTTGACGAGGCATCAGCAATTTCTGGCAAGTTTTATTCCTGGGAATGGTGACAATCTTGTTATAATAGGACTTTGGGGAAAACATATTACAGCTAGGACTACAATAACAAAAACTAATGATGAACATCATGGCCCTGGGAAGATGCCTCAAAAGCACAGTCAGTTTATTGACCTATAAAAAAGAATTGCCTGACATATATATGGAGTTCAATATTCTCAACATTTGCTATTACTCTATTAATGGATGATGTGTAGCAAAGATGTTGGGATTACGAGATAATTAATGTCTCACTTTTCAGCTCAAAGAGTCCAGATGTTACCTTCAAAAGGAGAGGCCATGAGACATCACACAGTGTCAATTAAAACCCCAAACCACAGCTGGTCCTTTTGTCATGTAACACTTCTGATAGGTAAAAAGTAATGACCATAAACCTGGTCTATATAGAATACACTATAGCAAGGCTCCAACATTTATTTTCTTATGTTATCTTACTCACATGGATAATAAGGCTTCTTCCCTTTAGACATGCTTGGCAATACGCCCAACTCTTCCTATTCACATTAGCTGCAAGAAGTTGATTTTAGACATTATTATGTTAATGAATTATATGCTTAAATGATCACTTTAAGCTGTAATAATCATGTTAATATAAAATTCACAACTAATTTTAAATTCACAGCAATTCAGTTCTTTAAGAAAGCTACTACTGATATTAGCAGTTACAGATGGGGCCAAGAATAATGATAATTTATAAGATGCAGGGGATCCATATTTATATTAGAAAATTGAGTTAAGTGGCCTGATGCAAAATAATATTTTCTTTGTAACCAGTAACTTACATGAGAACCAAGTAGCAGCAGAAGTGGAAAAATTTGATATTGATATATACAGCATGGTGCTCGAACTAGTAGTAGTGTCAACAGTAGATGCTGGAGTCAAACCTTAAAAAACAAGTAAAAATCAGACAAATATGTCACATTGAAAACTACAAGACATTGTTGAAGGAAATTGAAGAACACACAAAGAAATGAAGAGATATTTCATGTTTATGGATTGGAAGAATTAACATTGTCACAATGTCCATATTACCTAATGCAACCTATTTTTTTTAAATTAAATCTTTATTGTTCAGATTATTACATTTGTTCCTCTTTTTTCCCCCCCATAACTCCCCTCCTCCCAGTTCCTGCCCCACCCTCCGCCCTCACTCCCCACCCACTCTCCTCATCCATAGGTGCACGATTTTTGTCCAGTCTCTTCCCGAATCTCCCACACCCCTTTCCCCCCCAAGAATGGTCAGTCCATTCCCTTTCTATGTCCCTGATTCTATTATAATCACCAGTTCATTCTGTTCATCAGATTATTTATTCACTTGATTCTTAGATTCACTTGTTGATAGATGCATATTTGTTGTTCATAATTTGTATCTTTACCTTTTTCTTCCTCTTCCTCTTCTTAAAGGATACCTTTCAGCATTTCATATAATCCTGGTTTGGTGGTGATGAACTCCTTTAGCTTTTCCTTATCTGTGAAGCTCTTTACCTGACCTTCAATTCTGAATGATAGCTTTGCTGGATAAAGTAATCTTGGTTGTAGGTTGTTGGTATTCATCACTTTGAATATTTCTTGCCACTCCCTTCTGGCCTGCAAAGTTTCTGTTGAGAAATCAGCTGACAGTCGTATGGGTATTCCCTTGTAGGTAACTGAGTTTCTTTCTCTTGCTGTTTTTAAGATTCTCTCTTTATCTTTTGCTCTTGGCATTTTAATAATGATGTGTCTTGGTGTGGTCCTCTTTGGATTCCTTTTGTTTGGGGTTCTCCGCGCTTCTTGGACCTGTAAGTCCATTTCTTTCACCAGGTGGGGGAAGTTTTCTGTCATTATTTCTTCAAATAGGTTTTCAATATCTTGCTCTCTCTCTTCTTCTGGCACCCCTATAATTCTGATGTTGGTGCGCTTGAAGCTGTCCCAGAGGCTCCTTACACTATCCTCGCATTTTTGGATTCTTTTTTCATTTTGCTTTTCCGGTTGGGTGTTTTTTGCTTCCTCGCATTTCAAATCATTGACTTGATTCTTGTGCTCCTCTGGTCTGCTGTCGGGAGTCTGTATAATATTCGTTATTTCAGTCCGTGTATGCTTAATTTCTCGTTGGTTCCCCAATATAACATCGAGGGTCTCATTAGTTTTCTTGTAGATCTCATTAAGTTTATCGGCGGCTTCTAAACAGTTCTTGAGAGACCTTAAAAGTGTGGTTCTGAACTCTATATCTTCCATTGACAATTTTGTCCTGTTTCTTTGTCTCCGCATTTTGTTATGCTTCCTTGGTGCACCCCCTAGTGGTCTTTGTGCGCAGTCTTATAGTTAAACCTTGATTGTTGTAGCTAATACCAGGGAGGGTTTGACCTCCAGGCCAAGTGGCTATCCTAATGCAACCTATTGATTCAATGCAATCCCTATCAAAATCCCAATGGCATGTTTCACAGAAATAGAACAAAAAAATTCTCTAATTTGTATGGAATCATAAAAGGCCCCAAATAGCCAAAGCAATCCTGAAAAAAAAACAAAAACAACACAACAAAAACAACAAATAACAAAACCAGAAGTATCATACTCCCCAGTGTGGTATTCACAGAAAAACAGACACACAGACCAATGGAACAGAATTGAATCCAGAAATAAACCTACACATAAATAAGCAACTAATTTACAACAAAGGAGCCATGAATATGCAATGGAGAAAGAAAAGTCTCTTCAATAAAATGGTGTTGGGAAAATTGGACAGCCAGATGCAAAAGAATGAAACCAGACCATTATCTTAGACTATACATAAAACATAATTTTTAAAACACAATTATAACAAGATTCATTTATATGCAGAAATAAAAATAAAAAGAAGGAAAACTGGCTACTCTGAAATGTAATGAATGTGACATAGTGAAAGCATGGTTAAAAATATAGTTTGTGGGTCACAGGAGAACACTAACTGTGCGACCCAGAGCAACAAGGAGCCTGCTCCATTACGAGCCCCAGGACTTGCTGCCAGGGTGGCCTGAGCAACCCAGCACAGGCCACAGGGAGCACTGACTTTGCGACCCACAGCAACTCAGCGCCCACTCCACCTCAAACCCTGGGAGTTGCTGCTGAAGCAACCTGGAGCAACTCAGCACACCCCACTCTGGCCTGGAACAGTGCTGCTGGGGTGACACAGAGCAACCTGTCACGTGCCCCACTCTGGGTCACAGGACAGTGCAGCCGAGGCAACCTGGAGCAACCCAGTGTGCCCAGCCATGGACCACAGGACCACGTTGCAAGTGCACTGCCAGTGGTACCTAGGGCGCTAGCCTGCAGCAGGTGCCAGGGCCTCACAGTGAATTGCATGCCAGAGGGCTTTGGGTCCTCAAAGGGAGTTGCACAATAGAGGAACTTTACACATGCCACCGCCACCCCGAGCATCTAAAGCAGATAACTGGGGGACCAGATCTGTGGGAGAAGGGGATACAACTCAGAGCAGAGACAATAAAGGTGTGAGACTCAAGGCAGACCCAACCTCTGGGATGATGACTTCTGAAGCATTGGACCAATAGGGTCTTCAACCTCTCAGGCTCCAAGCAGGGTGCCCAAGACCAGAAAGAGAAAGCAAAATGAGGAGACAAAGAAACAACCCCCAAAGGAAAGGGGGAAATAACTGGAAAAGGAACTAAAATAAAATGGAGGCAAGCAATAAGTCAGAGAAAGAATTCAGAGTAATGGTTATAAAGATGCTCAACCACCTGGATGAGATAATCACCAATATGTGTAGGAATCAAGAGAAAATAAAGAATGACATCGCTAAAATTACAACATAAGAAAAGGTTTCAATAGAGGACTAGGAGAAGCAGAGGATCAAATCAGTGAGTTAAAAGATAGGGTAGGAAAAACACCCAATCTGAACAGCAATTGGAAAAAAAAATTAAAAAGCAGGAGGATAGTTTAAGGGAGCTTTGGGAATACATGAAATTAAGCAACATCTGCATAATAGGGGTGCCAGAAGGACAAGAAGAGGAGCAAGGATTAGAAAACCTATTTGAAGAAATAATGACATAAAACTTCCCTGACTTGGGAAAAGTAAAGGTCACACAAGCAAAGAGAGTCCCAAAATAGATGAACCCAAAAAACCCCACACCAAGACACATCATAATTACAGCAGCTAATATTAATGACAAAGAAAAAATATTAAGAGCTGCAAGAAAGAGACAGAAAGTTACCTACAAGGGATCTCTCACTAGACTATCAAATGATTTCTCAACAGAAACACATCAGGCCAAAAGAGAATGGAATGAAGTATACAAAGTGATACAAAGTAAGGGACTAAATCCAAGAATACTTGATCCAGCAAGGCTATCTATCATTCAAAATTGAAGGGGAAATCAGGAGCTCCGCAGGTGAAAAAAGGCTAAAGGAGTTTATTACCACCAAGCCAGAAATGAAAGAAATGCTAAAATGATGGTTGTAAAAAGAATAAATAGAAAGGGAACAAGAAACAGAAGTATAAAGAATAAAATGACAATAAACAAGTATCTACCAATAATAACCTTAAACGTAAATGAATTAAATGCCCCAATCAAAAGATATAGGGTGGATGAATGGATAAAAAAAAACAAAACATTATCCATATATATGCTGTCTACAAGAGAACCACCTCAAAAAAAAAAAAAAGGACTCACAAAGATGGAAAGTGAAGGGATGGAAAAATTTGTTTCAAGCAAATGGAAATGAAAAAAAAAAAAAAAAAAAAGCTGGGATAGCAATACTTAGACAAAATAGACCTCAAAGTGAAGGCCATAGAGATAAGGAGGGCCACTTCATAATAGTAAAGGGATTGATACAAGAGGATATAACTTCGGTAAACATATATGCACCCAATGCAGGAGCACCCAAATACATAAAAAAAAAAAAACACTTCAAAAAGTTATCAAAGGAGAGATTGAAAACAATAGAATCAGAGTAGGGGACTTTAATACCCCATTGACATTACTGAATAAATCTTCTAGAAAAAAATAGAAAAGAAACAGAAATTGATATCTTCAGAACATTTTACCCCAAAGCTATGGAATATATACAATCTTCACAGGTGCACACGGGACATTTTCAAAGATAGGACACATATTAGGATGAAGGCTAAGTCTCTTCATATTCAAGAAGATAGAAATCATAACAAGCATCTTCTAAAATCAAAATGGCATAAAATAAGAAATCAACTACAATAAAAAATAAAACACTTGCAGGTTAAATATGATATTAAACAATGATTGGATTACCAAAGAGATCAAAGAAGAAATAAAAAACATCCTGGAAACAAATGATAGTGAAAACACAACAATCCAAAATCTATGGGACACAATAAAAGCAGCCCTGAGAGGAAAATTAATAGCACTACAGGCCTACCTAAAAACAACAACAACAACAAAAAAAAGAAAAACAGGTAAAAAATTATCTAACCCTACAACTTAAAGGGTTAGAAAAAGAGCAACAAGCCCAGAGTCAGTAGAAGGGTTTAAATAATAAAGATCAGAGCAAAAGTAAATGACATAGAGACCCAAAAAACAATACAAAAGATCAATAAAACCAAGAACTGGTTCTTTGAAATGATAAATAAGATTGATGAACCTCTAGCCAGGCTCATAAAGAAGCAAAGAGAGAGAACTCAAATAAATAAATGAAAAAGGTGAAGTAACAACCGACCCCACAGAAATACAAAGGATGTTAAAAAATATTATAAACAACTCTATTCCAACAAACTGGACAACCTAGATGAAATGGACATATTCTCAGGAAAATACAATCTTCAAAAACCCATTCAGGAAGAATCAGAATATCTGAATAGGCTAATAGCTACTGAGGAAATTGAAGCAGTAATAAAAAAAAAAATTCCAGCAAATAAAACCACTGGTCCAGACTGCTTCAC